TATTTATTTATTTATTTATTCACCGTCTGATCACAGACTGTATTTATCACAACATTTTGTACAATACCATTCACAATGAATCACTATACCCGATCGAATATCCAGCTACCAGCCTTGTCGACTTCGGAGCAGCAGATATCGATTGTGTTCATTGTTTTAATCTCTAATTTTCAATACAATTTTTATAAAAATTACAGTTTTCACCGTTCAACAAATATTACATTTTCCAATTTAAAAATATTACTTCTAAAAATTTGTCTCGATGCTGATTCTAAAAACGTTTCTCTTATTAAATTAAAATTCCTACAAGCTACGTAAAATTCCGATGAATAGAAAAATATTTGAATATAAACACTTAAAGTAAAGTGCTATTTGCTTCATAATTTGTCAGATCAGCAATTTTCGATCTGTTTTTTGCGATTTTTCTTTCAAAATATTTATGTTTGTGGTTTTTTAGATATTGGATTTTTTGAACAATTTTTAAATTACCCCCCCCCCCCCAGATTTTACGAAAAATTTTGACATTTGCCCCCCAGATTTTTCGAAATTTTTTTGAAATTAAACCCCCCCTTAAACTCAGGACGTCAGAATCTATGACGCCAAAGCGCTACGAACTGAATTTGAATCGACAAGGCAACCTCATCACTGAACATCATAATGTTCCAGAGTATAGTTGAGAGTAACGTGAACATCGATCTTCTATTAAACGAAGCAGCAGGCATTGGATTGTCAATCAATGTACACTTCAAGAATCTCATTCGTGATCACTGGTTCCAAACCATCCTAATATTTATAAACATTCAGCGACAAACCTACGATTTTCACATGAAATATGAAATGTTGACACAACGCTGGAACTATGCCGATCACTCCACTCCCGCCACAAATAAAGAAATTATTAGTAATTCCAGTCCACTATTTCGATATGAAACATATCCGCATCGATATACATCTTTTTTATTTCATTGCGAAAAAATTTAGAGCATCGAAATCGGCAAAAAGAAAACGCGGTCAGCCAATAAACATTGAAAAAACTGAATACGATAGCAATCTAGCTATCTATTGGGATTTAATATTTGACCTGCCAGATTTTGCTGTGGCAACCGATAGTGTGGAACCGGAACTTGATGACAACACCATCAAAGAGAAGTACAATAATTTTGAGTTTAATTATGTGCTTGGAATTGAAAACTGTTTGGCACTGGGATATCGTTGCAGCCAAGAATATCATGTACATAGGTGAAAAAAGATCACACAGAAATTAAAATGTTGAAAAATAATTTGGCTAACGATTTGTTGTTTAGGTTTCAGGTCTTTGTACAGTGTTGGGATTGGACATTCATCCGCAACTATTGAAACCACAGAATCAAAATGCTGCCGTACAAAATCAAGCCGCTGACGATGGGGATTACAGTGACGCCGACGACTATGTTTATGTTCTCGATGTTTCCGATAACCACCAGTTCTAATTACATGTAGCATTAAGATTTCTTTTTAAACAATAATATTGTAACGTTTTGATGCTATGTTGGGCTTGAGTTTTGTGGCCTTGACCGAAGTACGGGAAGTTCGGTATATAAAATAACCCGTAGGTGAGTATCATTTCTGAACCGATAGTATATTGAATATTGATGTTGATTAATACTTACTAACTGAGTTTTAATTACTAGCTGAGTATATTTTTTCTCTTTTTTCTTTCCATTGTGACGTTGAAAATGACTGAAACTAAATCCGACCCCAATATTGACCGTCTCATGCCCGATAATAGATGAATTTGCCACAAAAAAATGTTTGATAGAAGCTATCAACTGTTTAAAACGTCTGATATTCAGAATGAAGAAAATAAGCTGATAACTTTGTTATCACTTTCAATTTTCTGAAGTCACGCGTTGTGAATTATATAAGTTTTCAAATTTAATTTTTCTATGTTTGTGTGATGACAAAAGGATGTGTCATCAGGCAATCTCACCAGCTTTACAGTCTTTTATCAGTTAATCCGGCTTTCTAGTCATGAATTTAGCAACAGAGTTAATTTGTTCCATTGAGAATGTGTGATATTATGGAAAACTCTAGGGTAGTTCGACTGTAGACAACAATTTGGATAAATCAATAGATATATTTGATGGAAGGGTCACGCTTATCTTGAGTGTGCATGCACCCGTTCACATCAACATCAATAAAATAATCATCAAACTAGTTGCACATTTATTAGCTCGTAAAAAAATGAAAGATTAGCAAGCAGAGTATTTATCTCTGATTTAGAGGTTTGTATTATTCTAGTATTTCTATGGGAAGTGCTAGTCAACCACATAATCTATAAAAATTAATTCTAAATGTGCCACTTAACGTGCGACGGTCACGTGTCATAAAGTCAAGAATATATAACAAATTGCATTCACATTTGGTTAATGTATAAATAGTATTCAGTAGATTTTTTGTCGCTTCACATCCATAGGTGGGGAGACTTTTTTCGCAGGGGGGGGGGGGCAAAGGGTATGGGGCCGGAAGGGGGAAGTCAACCAAAAAAAAAAAACACGATGTTTTTTGTTTCGTTGAATGATTGAAATGAATAAATTTGCTTGGTGAAATAGAACATTGTTAGGAAATTTTTCCCTATGAGTTTGGTTCTAATTTTTTTGCTGTGACTTTGGTTTTTGAATCAAATGCGCTGTCACTTTCGTACAAGAGTAAGTCTTCATATCTTTGAAGTCCGATACAGAGGACGGAAAATCGCATCTTTTTGCTTTATATAAGCAAATACCGCACGTGTGTGTGACAGTGGGGGCAAAACACGGAAAACCCCCCTCTCCCCACCTATGCTTCACATCGGTTGTTTAGCAAAACTATATTTTAACTTTGAGTTTTTTTTTGGAAATATGATATTATCAATTAACAAATACAATGACCCAAAATAACAAAAAACGGATTCAGAAATTATTGAGATTCATGGGGTCATTTATTGTATGTTATTATTATACAGTTATATGGACCTCTTTTCGCACCCTAATCATTTTGAATAACATATATGGAGTGATACATCGAACGTATGCGTTCTCTTCTCGCTTTAAATATACTTTAAATTGCACAACTAAAGCTCCGCCCATTTCAAAATTTCAACCTTAAAACGGTGAGTTACGAATGTACAGTGTACACACATTAAACCAACACACAATGGTACAACAAAACAGTAAAGCCAAATGCACACAATATTAAACGGAAAGGAATCGAGAATTTCATGGAGATATTTTATTACCTGATTTGGTTGCGAGCTATCGTTTCAGATTGGTTCAACTGTAGCACTGTTTCAAATGATAATATGCATACATGTGACTACACAATCTCGTACCTTATATTATAATACATATAAGGGGTGGATCTTTTGTACATGCTTTGTTTACATTGGCCAGCCTACACATATGAATGCATTTAAGTGAACATCAGGAGGCTTGTTTGCAAGATAACAGTAACAAGGTACTACCGCGGCACACGCGTCCTTCGTTTTCACACAAATTTGGTTTACAGTACCTTACATAGTAAGATTATAGGTTCGTGTCATATCAATCGGAATCAAACGAGGGTGTGTGTGTGTGTGTGCAAAACAGTGTGCTATCCATTCCCATAATGGAAAACATTTTGCTCAAGAAAATGAAACGTGAAAAAGTATTCATTCGCATGGTAAATTTCACTGTGTACGGAAGTGACTCAGAAGAATAAGTCGACTTCTGGAAAAATTTAAATTGAGTTAAAAAAATAGTTACCACCATAATCATAATTATACGAAGTAAATATTAAAAGTAATTCGGTGTAAAAAGTAACAGTTCCAAAGTGATTAAAAATGGATTGGGCTGAAAATGAAGATCTAACGAACGATCGATGCTCAACGGCATCATCGATTAGTAATTCAGGTGATGTAAATAGTTCGCTATCATTCCATTCGAATGGACCGAAAACAGTTAACAGCCAACACTTAAACGGGAATCAAAATACCCAGACAAACAGCAATACATCTCTTAATTTGGATTCAATGTCCGATGGTGAACTCTCAGATTTCTCACTAAATGATAGCGACGAAGAAGAGTTTCGTTCTGGGACAATAACTGGTAAACATTTTTCTAATTTAAAATCTTGGACATCAACGTCTATGATTTTACAAAATTCCGAATAAATTGTGTTAGAATCTAGAACATTTTTGTGAATCGAAAAATAATGAGAAGACATAATATCTATTGAATTTATCGAGAAAAGAGTATGTTATTCAGCGCTTATAGCTGAGTAATGTCTGAATAAAAACATACTCCTCTCTCGATATTTTCAATAGATATAATAATGGACGAAATATTCAACTTTTTAATTCAAGCCGTAATTTGAATTATTTTTTTGAACATAATAACGTATAAATTCGATTAAAAAGATTCATAAAATCAGGTGTGCAGTCTTATTTTCATCAAAAAGTTCGAACTATTTTCATTTTACACACAAATTTTGTTTCGCTACATGGACCAAAAAAGAAAAGAAATCTTAACATTAAGATCGGCAATGCTGATTCAGTATATTTTAATTTGCAAAATGCAAAACAAAATAGAAAATATGATTAGCGGTGTGAGTTTCCAACTCAAGCTATATTTCTATTATTTCAAAACAGATCGCTGTCATCCGCTGTCTGCAAATAATACATCAAATGTGCCATTAATCTATTCCGGAGGTCGAAATGGTCAGGTTGTTCGAAAATTTTTTACCAATACTCGTGAAAGATGGCGTCAACAAAATGTATCGGGTGCATTTGCTGAATTGCGAAAACTAGTGCCAACACATCCGCCGGATAAAAAATTATCTAAAAATGAAATTCTTCGTATGGCAATCAAATACATACGTTTGTTAACCAATATTTTAGACTGGCAAAAAAAGCAAGAACACCAACGAAATAATAATATCATTGATTCGACCAAATTTGAACAAATTGATAAGACGACAAACAAAGAAATGAAAAATAATACCAACGTATTTAAAACAAACGACGGAAATGCACAACGTTTGCTTATGATCGCACCAAATCATATTAATTGTGAAGCAACACCAATTAACCAATCAACAGACATAATGTATTCAACAAGCAAAACTGAAAATTCGACGAACGATTTAAATATTAAATTAAAAATTAATGCTGAAAATTATGCAAATTTTAATTCATCATTGAATAATCCAATAATATGCAATTTTAGAAGTGTAAATTTGTTGTCGGTCAAAGTAGAAAATGTAAAAACGTCAATGCCAATGCATCAGCATTCTACTGGTTATTGTAATACTAATAATATTAATAGTGGAATGTTAACCAGCAATAATATCGAAACGTCAAATATAAATGCTAGCGTGCAAGGACGAAACAATATTGCTGGCAAAACCTCAAAAAATCGAAACATATGCAACAAACGGAAATTCATCAATGGCGGTGACAGCTCAACAAAAGATAAAAAGAAAAAATAAACCGATTTTGTCAACTTTACATTATCATTAAAAATATTGTTTATTTTTTTTCCTTAATTAAACTAAAATACAATAAATTGCTGTATGTCAAGAAATTTAATGGTTATTTTTATTGTATTTTTTTGAGTTCTTTGGTAGAAAACAATATTTACTATATGCAAATGAAAAAATATGATTTAAAAAAATGCGTGTAATTGTCAACATATCAGAAGAGAAAAGAAAACATGTTTTTTCGCTTCCAAAACTTTTCATGTTTTTGCGTGAAACCCTTTCTTCCTGAAAAAACCATTTTTTTCTTTAGTAACACATTAAATCTGCTCAAATTTAGTATCTATAAAAAAAACAAGTCTGTATTCCATTCCAGTGGATAAGATGCGTGGGCGACTGATAGAAGTTTTAATACAAATTGAATATCCTCTTATCTACATCGCACACTCACCTCATAATACACATTTTCCAAAATGCTTATTTTACCACCAATATAGAAGCATATTTTCACCAACAAAACATTTTGAGCACTTTTACTGGTTGGCAAATGTTGCTGCAAACACGCCTGCCACAAGTTTGCATAGAAAGTTTTAGTAGGTCTGCAATGTAATAGAGTTTGATGATATATAAATATACTCTTATATGATATACATATAAAATTATCCAATTCAGGCGCCTCCACTCGAATGTCAAATAATAATAAATGGAATCAGTGCATTTTTTTATTCCTCGCATATTAACTGTTTGATCTTGAAAAAAGAACATTAAAATATAGTTTACAATTAAATTGAAACTGTAAAAATGTGACTTTTCTCTTCATTGTGTGCAAATGTTGGCATTCTCACAATTTTCAATCAATTTTCTCTGGTAATGTATTTATACAAAATGATACATTTTCAGTTCAATGCATCGAATCAATGAGATTTTTACAAGTAATAAAATATGAACAACAACGGTTCTAAAAAGATAAAAATATAAACATTTAAAAAAAAACTCTTAATGTCAAACATTTATTTTTACTGCTTTATGAAATTTATTTGATGAAATCACAGCGGACGGCAGGCCGCGCGAGTGACGAAACCTCACTAGTGTGTTGAAAAGTCGAACTTGCTATATATACACGAAATCCAGACCTAGAAGGCCTTTTGCCGCGATTGGTGTATGGTTGGAAAGCCCTTGGGCCATAGATCAAGAAAAAATCTGTGTGACAGAAAAAAAAATGTCAACAAAACTAAGATCATATCATATCATCGGGGATCTCTGCAATATGAATACAAATACAACATAGGCGGCGTTCAAATAGAAAGAATCTTTGTAATAAGGGACTTGAGAGTGTTGCTTGATGTGCAAATGAATTTCAAATCACACATTGAGCATATCACGGCTAAAGCCAAATCAAGACTGGCATGGACAATTAAACGCCTTTATTTTACATTTGGGATTATTGGATTATTGGATTAAACGGGGAGTTATTCACTTCGATGCTCAAGTTTCTTAACTTATTGCATGACGACCCGACTTGTGCTGTCACTCGATTGCTTGGAGAATGCTTCCCACGGTGTGGCCCACTTTATAGCAGCCATGTTACTAGCCTCCGTACAGGGCCAGTGACCAGGGCTTTCTTCTCAAGTCAATTGTCGTGACAGTCACAAGTATTCCATTCATTCCTAGATGGCGTTGAGCTCTTCTTATTTCAATGGAGGAATGCACATATCGCTGGTTTACCGGTATATTCACCAGAGATGTCGCACTACCTTTTTACGGTTGACGTATTGGATATTTGACATATCCAAGACACCAACCTAACGTAAAGGCACTCCATTTTACGTGTGTCTATGCTGAACCCATTATTCGTTGTGCACACACACGGGACCGACGGCTTTAAGTGCCCTCCGAAGCACTCCACTAGCCCGAAACCCGGCCAAATCTATTCCGCATAAAACCACTGATAATTCCTGAGCGAATCACGGTGGAAAAATACCGGACCAAATTTGACCGAGAATCGAACTCGTGTCCTCACGCTCACAAACCTGGCACGCTAACCACTAGTCTATGGCTGAGTCTATTTTACATTTATATTACCAATTATCGAATATGGATCGGAAATATGGAATCCACACTATGACAATATGTGCAAAAGAATTGAGTCAATACAAAAACATTTTTTACTTTTTGCGCTATGGAGAATGAACTGGGACAGCTACACACATATTTCTAGTATTAGTTATTAGCATTTTTTGATTTTTATATATAATTAATCCAAAAGGATTAATACTTAGTCCCAATGGATTAAATTATTATTTTATAATTATAAACATATATTTTTGTTTTAAAATTCATGCGCATTCTCTAGCGAGCGCCAAAAACATCATCTTACATACTATTCTCTCACTTCATACGAAAGAATAACAACAATTGTATGGCAACACTCAAACGATATGAAAGTAAACTACTACACACGCATCACTTCTACTGGCGCGTCAGTCGTTGAACGTCGTTCGTATACATGTTTCCACTGACTCGCCAGTAAAAGTGATGCGTGTGTAGTAGTTGACTCTCATATAGTTGACGTTTGAGTGTAATCAAATAATTGTTGGTATTCTTTCGTATGAAGTTGAGAGAATAGTATAAGATGATGTTTTTGATGCTGGCTAGAGAATGTGCATGAATTTTAAAATAAAAATATATTTATAATTTAATCCCTTGGGACTAACTATTAATCCTTTTGGATTAATTATATTTAAAAATCCCATAGTGCTAAAAATTAATACTTGCGATATAAGTGTGTATAGACTTCCGAAATATGAGTATAGACTGCTGTTTCTACAAATGATCACGCTAGAGGAGAGACGAAAGATGGCGCAAGTGTCTTTCATCTTCAAAATTATTCATGAAGTCCAGTCATATATCAAACAGTTTGAATTATTATGATTCAGCGCATAATACCTGTGCAATGCCGCTATTTGATATTCCAATTAGAAGAAGCGATTACACAAAATATGAACCAATTAATTATATTATATATTGGATGTTTATACAAAGAAATACCTAATTTTGATACTGATTTAATTGATTTAGAAGTAAATTTATCGACAGTAAAAAAGAAAAGTATTTAAAATCTCAAATGAAATTATTAATATAAATATTGAAAATGTACATAAAAAGAACAATTTATACAACTCTCAACGACTCTCTCATAGTTGCTTGATGAAAAATGTTTGGATTGCTAAATAATATTAAATTATATTTATTAAAGTTAATTTGAATAAGTACAAAACACTTCTTTCGAAGTTACCACTGCGACGCAATACTGTAAATCTAAAAATGGTTTGATATAAATTTTCAGTGACGCGTTCGTTCATATACATACAAATATTAATATTGCGTCGCGTAAAATTTGTTCTACTGTACTTATCGTAAAAAATGTAATAAAAAATCACGTGCTGAGAAAAAATAAATATTTGTGTATTATACCCTTATTATTATTGTTATACAGGGTGGTCCATAATTCCATGTCAATATTTTATTTTAAATCAATTCTATCCAGCGAAAAAGAGATCCCAATTGGTGTGCCACAAGGGACTGCACTCAGCGTAATTTTATTTAATATTTATAATGACAACATCACTAAAGTTGATACAAATGGTTCAATTGTTTTGTTCGCCGACGATACATGTATAAATGTCAAAGAAAATAATATAGTTAATGCTATTGACAAAATGAATGACGATTTAGATAAAATTGCAAAATGGCTAAACGTAAATAAATTGATTTTAAATAAGTCGAAAACCAAATGGATGTGTATTTCAAGAAAACCATCAAATAATGAAATTGTGTTGCCAAATATTATCATTGAAAATAAAATTATTGAAAAAGTTGATAAAATCAAATATTTAGGTGCAATAATCGATGATAGATTATCATTCCTTTGAATGATAACAAGCAGAAAACAGTGTTAAAAAAGCAGCAAGTTAAACCAATTTAATGTATAGAATATCGAAAAAACTGACATTTGACACAAAAAAGATAATTTATAATTCGATAGTTTTGCCACATTTACAATACTGTTCCACAATTTATATAAATTGTAACCATGAAGAAATCGAACAAATGCAAAAAATTCAAAATAGAGCCATGAGGATTATTTTAAATTGTGAATTTCGGACACCAACAAGATTCATGTTAAATGCACTAAATTTGCTCAGTATATCACAAATGATTAAATTTAATGTAATTGTCTATATATATAAAATGTTAAATGGTATATTACCAAATTATTTAGCGGATAATTTAATTTTCACAAATGACATTCATGAAAGAAACACAAGACAGAATAACATTAATGCAATGAGACTTCCGAATTTTAGATTGGAATTTACACGTAAAAACTTGTTTTATAAAGGAATTCAATTATATAATGAAATGCCAAATGACATCAATCATTTAAAAATAAATGCTGAAAATATATATTAGAAAATTGTAACATATAATGTAAATACCAAAAAGGGCGAAAGCTAATTCAAATAAATAATAATTTTCACAAAATGTTCCTTAGCTCATGAGGATAGAAAAGTGTATGAATACTTTTTCCGAATTGACCCCTTAGGGTCAAAATTTTCTATGTTCTTGTTGATTTCGACGGACGGTCACCAATGCGGTGTTTTTCAAAAGGTATTTTTCATTATTGGCTTGTTGGAAAGGTCTCTCAGTCCTCTTCAAAATACCATGAAAAATTTTTGAAAAAAGTTTCAGTGGATACGGTCAAAGTGGGATACGGTCAAAAGTGAAAAAAATCATCGAAAATCGATAAACCTATCTTTTTTATGCCAGAAATCGAAAGAGCATCCAATTTTGGTCCGGTATGCACATTTTCAAATTCCAAATTAAAATTTACAACAGTCCGCAGTGGAGCGACCGAATTTTTTTTTCATTTTTTTGAATCGACTTTTCTGGGTCAGTTTATTACGCTGATTGTTTGGTTTTACCACCGATCTTACATAATTCGGACCTGAGGAATCCAATGGTGCCAACGGTTTTGACCGATCGATTCGAAGTTCACAAGATATACGGCTTCGAACCTATCCCTAGGAGTGACGTTTTG